TTTACTACAAAGTGTATCCCTTACCAGATATGTCTTAGGGACAAGTTTAAATCACAGCCAGTCTTTAGTGTAAAATACTGTCTTTTTCATGCTTTTGAAAAAATTTCCAAGATGTCTACAAATGTAACAGGTGTATCTGAAGCTAGGTCCTAGTGCAAAGGAGAGAGTCTGTCTGTCTGTCTGTCTGTCTGTCTGTCTGTCTGTCTGCTTGCCTGCCTGCCTGCCTGACCATCTGTCTATCTATTCTATCCACCTAATCTATGTAGTTGGGAATACTAGGGATCAATTTTAGATAGGGCCTCCTCACAGAGCTGCATACTAGAGGTTTCAAACTACTACTTTTTAATTTTGAGCCAAGATGTTGCAAAGTCACTAAGTAGCAAGGGTGAGTCTCGAACTTGTGATCTGTTGGCTTCAGGCTCCTAGAGAGTTAGAATGCTAGGCATGCACCATGATTCTTGGCTTTTTTAAAAAGAATTTTCAAGGCATGAAACTGTGGCTTGCTATTATTGTTTTTGTTCAAATGAGAAAGGAATATATATAGCTTATTATAATAAAAATCAGGCATATTTAAATACATCTATTTATATTATGCTTTTATTCCTAAATATATTTTTATAATTTGAGAAATGAAGTAATATTCTGAATGAAAGCTTCAAGTTGGGAAACCAGATGCTAACAAGTTGGTAAGGACAAGGGTGGGCATTTGTGAACTCTTCCAAAGGATGAACTAATTAATTCACCCTATTTCTTTGTTTCTCACTGGAAAGATAGTAAACCAGAATAGTGAGGGATAGCCCCATGCCAATTCACAGCTCTAATTATGACACATATTTTTGGTGAATAAAAGTGTAGTGCTGCATTATTTATTTTGAAATGAATAAAGTTTATTAGAGAATACAATTCTAAATGATTGTCATTGAGAGGAAAGTGATGAAAGGAAACTGTCATGAGTTACACAGCACCTTCCCCAAATTCAGGTATAGTGGGAACCTCAGCATGTGACCTCACCTAAAAATAGGGTCTTTCAAGATATAATTGGTTGATGATTTGAAGAAAGAATCATTCTGGATTTAGAATATAGAACGCTTCCCACTGACTGGTACCCTCGCTGGAATAGGAGAGGACACAGAGCCACACAGAAAGGGAGGAGATGCAATGATGGAAGCAGAGATTAGAGGCGTGCTTGGCACTGTGGCTCAAGAAGCCAAGGGATGCTGGAGACTTTGCAACCACCAGAAATCCCTCCTCAGACCCTCCAGAAAAAAATCAGGCCCTTAATTCAATAACTTCTTAATTTGGACTTCTGGCCTCCTGAAGAATGACACTAAATTTCTGTTTGAGGAGACTGAATCCAGAGTTTGCTGTTGATTCCTGGTTCAATGCTGGGATTAAGGGAGCTGGGAGGAAGGGTGACTGACTGCTCAGTCAGTGCATTCATTGGATTGGGACCACCGTAAACCCAACAGTCTAGATAAAATCGAAGGGAAAGTACGTGTTTTGTTCTCCTCCCTTGTCTGCTGTAACATTTGGTGCCTTCAACTGCTGTGAGCTGTTGCTGTCATGTCGCCCTACCTTGGAGATCTCTGGGTGTGGACTGAACCCTTCACACACTGTGATCTAAATGAACCTTTCCTTCCTTCATTTTAGGCATCAGATGTTTCGTCTCACCACTGAGAAAAGTAACTAAGACAGGCCCAAATACTAACATAAAATGGAGTCATTCTCTTAATGTACTTTCCACTATTTGACTTGTGACTTAAAAGTTTTCATATTCTGCCATTTTCAGTAGATGTACAGTGCCGTATAATATGTCTCAGTTTTCTAGGTTCGTGCTTATGGTTGGATATCTAGGCTTTTAAAAAGTATTTACTAAGAAAATAATTCTATAATGCCTTTTTTTCTTTTTTGTATTTAGTGCAGGGTCTACAGGGTCTCACTACACAGATCAGACTCATAGTGATCCTTCTGTTTTCAGCTTCCCAAGCACTGGGATTATAGGCAGGCACCACCACTCCCAGTCTCAATCACCTCTCAGCGTGCCCTGGGGGCAGAGCCGGCTTGGCTCTAATGCCTATTTATAAGTAAAATATTTACCAAATTACAATAATACCCTAAGATCAATTCCTAAAAGCCTAAAAACATTAATTTATTAATTATAAATTATTATAGTTCAATTATAAACTACATTCATATAATATATCATTGTCTATATCTATAGACATATATGCAACATATATGTGCATATTGATTCCTAGAAATATTCTAAAAATTTTCTGTTTCCATAGCAATATATGAGAATCAAAATTTTTCATATACTTCCCAGTATATGGCAGCACATTTATTTTTATCTTTATTATTTTAATCTAAGGAAAATGTTAACTTATTTTTAGCTTATATTTCTTTACATACCAGTGAGATTGAATATTTTATATTTATTGGTCATTTATAGTTCAGGGAATTGAATGTTCAATTCCTGTTTTTTTCTGTTTTAGTGTTCCTCTTTTCATTATTCTTTAAATTTATTTTGTAATTTTAATTCTTTCATTCGAAGTGAAAAGCAATGAGAATAAAGCTATCTGGGTGCAAATCTTTACATCTATAGAAAGAAAGGCTTAGATTAAACTAATCCAAGGGTTCTTTGTTAATCAAATATTGAATCTCAGGAATTATATATTTACAGTAAGATTTTTCATTTTTTGTGTTTTCTCTCAACTTAAAGTACATGTTTGCATCACATATCATAAAGAGCATCTATTCCTCAATTTAAGTGGGCCTGTCAGTTAGTTCAGTGTTTTAAGTACCTGCTTATGCAAACGCAGTCACATGCAGGATACTGTGGTTTGATCTGGATCCTCATGCCTTAGGAGACCTGCCCTTAAGACATCCTGAGCTGCACCCCCTCAAAAAATAATCCTTCTCAACTTTTAGGGGCTTTGCCTAATAGTTCAGTTGTTTAAAACACTGCTTGGGTAAATACAGACAGGTTCATAGGACCACGGTTCGGTTCCCAGCTCTAGAAGCTATACCAGACCTGCCCTTAAGGCAGCCTAAAGTAGCCAAAACAAACAAACAAAAAATTCTTCTCAATTTAACTTCGATTATCTTTACCTTCTTCCCTCTCGTTCACTAGGAATAAAGACAAAAACCTAAACGGAGAAGCTTAACTTTTTATATAATATAGTAAAATATTACAACTTTATCTTAGAACCAATAGTACCTGCATAAGAGATTTTGTTCACATTTAAAAGATATAATGTGAGTTTTAGAAATCTACTTTGGATGAACTCTTACTATTAGTTTAAAATTTTTCAGGAAAAAAACCCTGAGGGGAAAGCTTCTGGTTACTTGAAATTCTCAGGTTATAAACTAAACAAAAGGCTTAAAAAACCTGTGTGTGTGTGTGTGTGTGTGTGTGTGTGTGTGTGTGTGTGTGTATTTGAAATTGAAAATTTACTGTGTGCCTGGTATGGAGGAAAGTTAAGGGTTTCTTTTCTCTCATTTCCAATGATAGTTTATTCATCAGGTGCAAGTGACATGCTTTATATTGTTTTGGACCCAGCTGTGCCCTCCCAATTTTTTCAGCTTTCCCTGCCCAACAGCGCCATGAGCAAGACCCAAATGAGAATCCTTGTTATTTATTCCTTATGAGCCTTTTCCTGATCTGTGGTGGTGAATCTTTCAGAGACTGAGCACCAAATTGCAACCCCAAACACACTGAGTTGCCAGGAAGTGCCAGACCTGCAATTAAACCTGAAAATTGAGGTTCAGGTCAAGAGAAAGTGGCACATATGTCAACACCTTTTGTCTTTTTATTTTTTTTGGTGGTACCAGGGATTGAACTCAGGACCTTGGGCTTGTCAGGCAAGTACTTATCCCATTGAGCTATCTTCCCTAGCCAAATATCTTTTGTTAAAAGAAAAAAAAAATGTGTGCCCTGGGTTTGCCACCACTGCCCTTCACCCAGCCAGCATCACATGTAGTGATGGCAGACTGAGAAATTGTCTTGTTCGGACATTTCCAAGAGCTCTGCATTCCTTGGGATTGCCTGGAGGTACACAGTATTCAACTATCTGTTGGTAAAGTTTAATGAATGAGAGCCACGAAAAGTTGCTCATGGCTCCTGTTGTTCCATAGATTAAGAGACATAGAAGCTTGTGTGGCTCCTCAAGAGACACTGCACCAACCTAGCAAGCTGTGTTTCTCTCACAAGGTTGCAACCGCTCAAGCTCATCAATTTACCCCCACTATTGGATTTATCTTCTTTTCTATCTCACTTCCCTTATTAATTCTCTGTTGCATTTCTGGGTTCACATATCCAGTGACATGACCTCGATACTACATTCTCAGTCTGTTTTCTAGGAGCCTAGACTGACTCATAGGAAGGACTCTGATGGTTAAAGAAAATATCTGATAATCCACTTCATGAAATGAGAACATATTCTCTTCAAGACTACTGAGTCCCCTGATATTGCTATTGGAGTGGTCTTGCTTAGGTGTTTATGAAAAGTAATCTCTATCTTCACTTTTTTTTTTGTGGTACTGGGGATTGAACTCAGGATTCTACACTTGCCAGGCAAGCACTTATTCTACTGAGCTATCTCTCCGCTCCCCTCTATCTTCACTTTCAAATCTTTCCTTTTTCTCAATTTCTACTCTTTCCACATTTGTATGGGTTGAGAAGGGAGGTGAATTGATCTAAACATGGCACTTTATTGGGCAACTTTGAGAAGTTATTAGATAATCGGAGTTGTGAAAGTACCAAGGCCATGAAAATGATACACTAAAACTTTGGTGGTGTGTTGTTTAAGATGATGATCTAGAAGCAAAATATATAGTGAAAGTGTTAAAGTTTAAAAGATAATGGTTATTCTTGTTCAGGCCAATAATTGCTACCTGCCAGGAAAAAAGTCATTGTTCCATTAAAGAAAGAGTATATTTCCTTCCTAAAGCATTTAGTTCATCCAAACCTTGCCACATTGCACTATGTGGACACCAACCTGTGAACAGGTACCAGAGGTTGTTGGGCTCCAGTGTTTCCATCTCTCCCCTGCGGGTTGTCTTTCTGTGTCGAATTTTATAGCCAGTAATAAATCCATTTTGTGTTCCTGATGGAGGAGGAAGCCAGCTTACTTTGATACTCTGTAAAATAATAAATGTAAATGAAAATATTAAAGAAAAAGAGAGCAACAAGAAAGCATCAAAGATGCGACTTGCACACACATCTAGACAAAACATAGGGGCAACAAATGTGAGGGATTACCACCTCAATCCAAATTAAACCTGTTCTTACAATAGGATGACATCTCTATTTGTTTTTAATCAAAAGACACATATTATTTGATTACAGGAATTATAACTTTTCCATCTCAAGCCCTGCTAACTAATAGGAAAATATTCTACATGGTTTAGACCGAAGAATTAAACCACAGTGGATGACAAAATTGAAAAAATATTTGCAAGGAAGAACTCAGGAGGTAGGTATAGTCACTGGGGTAAAGCAGGATGCTGAAAGTTGAACATTTTCTTAAGAGACATTAATGAGCAGTAAGGTCATTTACCTTAGAGTTAAGAAGGACAGGAGAGGGAGTGGGGGAAAGAGACAAAGCAATGTATGCAAGCAGGATGGTTTGGACAACTGTACTGTGGGCTTCTGCTCGTCTATGGAAAGGAGCAGATAATGCTTAATTTGTCTCCTTTCAATTGTTTCTCCTTTTTCTCTTAATTTCTTCTATGCCTCTTTCTTTGTCAACTTTTGCATGCATATATCTTATAATATGAATAACTGGTTGCAAGAGAGCTCCATGCACTACAACAAATACCATGAAATTCATATTACTTTGTTAAGTGAAATTCTGTATCATTCATATTTTTTTTCTGTTTTAACACTATGTTGTATTCTCTTTAAAAATAAAAACAGGGCCAGGGTGATGGCTCAGTGGAATAAGCACTTCCTTAGCAAGTGCAAGGGCCTGAGTTCAATCCCCAGTTCCGCCAAATAAATAAATAAATACATTTAAAAAATAAAATCTGAAGAATGAAATAACAGTGCATTGTTCTAGTTCCCAAGGCCCCTGCAGCCTCAGTACACAGGTATGTGCCCGTATGTCTCTCTCCTACTACACACGTACACATACATGCACATATATTGACAAACTGTTCCCAAGTGTTCAAAAAACTAGTAATGATGACTAGAATGCAATGAATAGTCATAACATGTACTGATAGCCAGTTGATCATCTTACTTTTATTTTTCAATAATTTAGTGTAGTGATATCAGATATTATTAACAGTTCTACCAAGAAGGAAATTGAGGTACAGAGTTAAATTACTATTAGTTTGTGGCCAGCTTGCAAACTCACTGGAACATTTTGCTCTTATTGAGTCCAATGTTGTTCTTGTTAATTCACAATTAAGTAATCATTAGGCCTCTGTTTGGCAGCTCTGCTTCCATAAATTCCTGTATGAGACAGTCTTGAACATAATAAAACAATTCCAATGATTGTATTTAACTCTATAGCGGGCACCTTCTTATATGTACATCGGCTTTGGAAAATCAAGACCCTTTTCTCAGAATTAGATTGTTCTTAAGGTCAAAATTAAATTCAAACAAAACATGAAAAAGTAGCTGAAACAGTTTAAGAGTTGAAACCTTTTGATGTGCAGTTAATATTTTCTCCTAGCTGTACTGCGTTGCCTCTTATAAAACTTGTAAATGACCTACATCTTAATGTACATCGTGAAATGTACATCTTAATGTACATAGGTATTCTTAGTATGTCTACCAAACAATTGTAAATTATGTGTTTAGCCTGAAGAACCTCATTACACTAAAAACTAATATATAGTACTTTGTTTTTGACAGATAATAATTTTTTGATCATATTTTAGGATCAAGGATTTCCAGTGATTGCATAAGTGATTTCCCATAGTCAATACCTTAATATCAATGCCTAATAGAAATTAATTCATAGAATCAATTATACACTCTACACTCCAGGAAGGAAAACTTCCTCAGTAGTTATTTTTCATCTTTGGAAGTAATTTTATCATGTTCATTTATTGCAGTCTGTGTGTAATTGCTGTTTTTGAGCATCTTTTTTGTTTTCTCATTGATTTCTGCAAATACCAGGATATCACAAAGACTTGTGATCAAACATTTTTTTTTCATAGGTTCTCCTTTTGCAATTATTATGGCTGGATGCTTTTAATTATATTGTTTTGGGAAGTTAAAGTATTCATCCATGTTTTATTTAATGGTGTAATTTATTTTATGTAGAAGACTGTTTTGCCACTGTTAGTAGACCAGACTTCATTGTCCATTCTATCACCAAATCATCTAAAGTCATCCCCATTACAGAAGCATTCTTTTGTATCAGTCTGTCTGCATGGACAAGTTTGTTAATTATTCTTATTAAAAGTACTTAACACATGATCTTTGACTTTTTAAAAAAATCAATCCTAGTAGCTGTGAGTTGAATTTTGCTTCCTTAATTATTTGAGGAGAATTTAATCCTTCGATTTTTTAGGGTGTTCTGTCTTAAATCAACGAATAGTTTTACTTTCACAATTTTTAGGGAAAAGAACTACAAAATTTAGTTTCCTTGCTGTCTTCCATTCTTTCTGATTATAAAAACATGATTCATTTTCCAAATAAGCTTGGTGGCAGATAATTAAGTTTATTATTTAAACTGCATATTTGGCCACATTTCCCAAATGCCAGGAAAATTCCTACGCAGCTGAGTGATATGGAGTCATCCTTTTCATGGGTCCCATTATTTCATTAGTTTTCCTTTACTCTAGTTGCATATGAGTAGTGAGAAAACAGAAATAATGTGACAAACCCACTGGCTAATTTTGCTCAGAATCCACAATTCCCAAGCTTCTATTTTAACTCCACACATATCCAGTATGTCAACGTTTTTGTTTCCTCTTTCTACTATGAATTTCAAGGGAATACAAGCCCCCATTTGTCTGTCTTCAAAGACATTCAGTGTCCAATAAGGAAGCTTTTATTAAAAAGATGGTTCTATCTATCTATTTCTATCTATCTATCTATCTATCTATCTATCTATCTATCTATCTATCCATCCATCTATCCATCTATATTTCCCATAGTGTGGAGTTTCAGAGCAACACTTGAGAGACATTCCAATAGCAACTATGAATGTTTTTGGTGGAATACAGCAGGCAACAAGAATCCTAAAACTAATCTGACATCAGCTTTAGGCTCTGAGATTTATTCCTTTTCTGTTTCAGTGACTTGAGTCTCTCATGAATTTCTGTGGAGAATGAAATAGACTTCCATCACTCAGGAGGTACCATGTAATTTACTAGAATGCACATCAGCAATTCTACAACATGTACTTTCCTTACAACCTTCACCTATCCCTTTAGTTACAGTCCTTCTGCCACTACCCCGATTCAGATCTTGACTCATGTACTGTGCAGAATCTTGCCATGGTTAATAGGTTCCCGTGTCACACTGCTCACACACTTGTCAGCTTTCTTCCAAGGAAATGTATGATTTTGAATGAGAAACTTAGGCTTTCTGAGTTTTCTGATGCACATATGAGCTAATTATTGTTACACTATCTGCATTTCCCTGGTAGGGACCCTGCTTTGCTTTCTGGTAGGTGCTTCTTCACTTTGTTAAATCTGCCTCATCCTTCCAAGACATTGAGTTCTCTAAGAATAGTGACCTTGTTGGGAATCTATCAAAACTTTCCTTCTTAATATGAATGTTCTTCCCTTGATCTAGTTATTTTACTTACTTGATTTTATGTTCTGAAGCAACAATCCTACCTGGCATTTTGATTCTCTACCTAACATATCTCCTGATCTTTTTGGCACAATTATTATTGCTACTCCTGTCTCTAGACACTGTGACCAGTTTTTCTAAATGAACATCTCTAATTAACTTTTGGCTAAGACTCATGGCCTGCACCATGGTGGCTCTGATGCCAGATATCAACACCAATTAACAGTTTTACAAAGGAGGAAACTGAGACACATCATTAACTGAATTATTGTTCTGGGATCCTTTGCAACATCACTGGAAAATTTGCAGGCATCCCATTTTGGAATACAATGAACTTATCTCCAGTTGCAAAAACAGATCATTCTTATGTTGCAAGAAATGTGATTTGGAATGTGCTCTGTCCCTGCATCTCCTAGCTGAAGTAAATGGAGCTGAATATAAATTGATACTGGGAGTGGACATGCCAGCCCTTCATCCTTGAATCAGATTCTAAGAGCTAAGGCTTCATAATCCCAAGAAAAAACAGGAAAGCTGAAAATGTTCCCATCTTCCATCATTTTAGCACTAGAAGGGACTTGAACCAGTAAATTGGTGTCAAATAGATTTGCAAACCTTCAATGAGAGATCCCCATTCTCCCTTTGAAACATAAGGTACTCTGTGTAATTTTAATATCTGGCAGCCTGGAACAATAGTATTTTGTACAAATACTATTTAAAATTATTTCTTTGGTTACTTAAAGATGAGGCTGTCAGATATAAAAGGAATAAGCCACTTCTGTGTGTTGCCTGAAGATGCCTCAGTAGTGAAGTGGGTATGGAACTCTGGTCCCAAAGTTGCATGCTCATCAATAAATACTAGTGATCTATTGAACAGTTAACTCAGAATGTTGATAAAGCTCAAATCCTTGGCAGAGACATTTAGCAATACACTTGGGATATTTTTAATTTATATACTTGGTGTTTATTTTATTAGCTGCTGTACACCGCATGCAGTTCCGAACTGTTGTTTAGGAAAAGAATAGTGTTCTGCAAATAAAAAGTATTCAGAATGTACAATACACACACAGGCAGGAAAAGCATTGTTCTTCTCAGGCTTCCACTATTTTGCTACGTGATAGTAGGAATCAGTAACTAACAGCATCAATCAGATGTCACACGAGTGTAGCTATTTTTCTCCCATCTTATTGATAGGTGATCAATGAGAAAGGGCTTAGAAAATGAAAAATACTACAAGATATAAAGTGGTACTCTGATTTTTTATTTTATTTTTAGAAGTAAAAATACTAAATGCAACTTCTTTGAGTCACACAAAAAGACACTGAAAATGGAAACACCTTTCCAAGAGGAACATCTGGTCCCTGTGGTTTTCCATGTTTGATTT